ACTTGGGGACCGGGGTAGAGGGTAAGGGAAGAGAAGGAGCCTGGCCAGGGCTCCTCGAAGGGGGAGGCCGAGCCGGTCGAGGGGGAGCAGGGGCAGGATGGACCCCCTGCCTCTGGTCGGCCCTCAAAATCCCCCTCGAGGGCTCATGCCTACGGGACGAGGGAAAGGTTTGGGGGAGAAGGGCAACTGAACGAGGAGAACGAGGGGACAAACCAGAAACCGCGGGACATTTCTTAGGCTCCACAGGCACGCCGAGTGTCGCATGAACTCTGCGCGCGCAATACGCCACGGTGGCTAGTTTTGTCTCCCCGGAATTTATGGCCTCTTCTAATTTTGCCACAACGGCTGCCCAAAACCGCGGCTCTTTTACGCGTTCCGGGGAGACCTCGGGAAACCTAGAAAATACCCACTTAACTAAACATTTTAACTCCTGCTTGCGGGCTTTCTGACCACCCCCAAGCAACAAACCCTTCACAACATAATAAACCTCCTTCTGGGATTTTCCCAAGCCGGCACCCATTGCGCCTTTCTAGAGCAGAAACTGCTACCGCTAGAAAGGGGGAAAACCCTCTGATGACGCAACCGCACGCCCGGGAAACAACGAGAACTTAAACAATGAGCCGCCTGCCACCGGCCCCTGCCCCCCCGCACTGCCCCAAAGTCTGGGTAAACAGCCGGAGGGAAAAAGAGATTGGGTGATGGGTGCGGCCCCACGTCTGGGGAAATCCGGCACCCAAAGGGAAGAGAAAACAAAAACGGCGCGGGGGCGAGGAAAAACCTCAAGGAGAGAAGGCGGGGGGGTAGGTCCCCAACGCAGGGCATATACCCCTAGGGAAAGTTAAAAAGGCAGAGGGGAAGCCGGAGAGTCCCCAGGACGGGGCCCGAACTCACCAATCCTGCTGCGGCGACAAAGAAAAAACCAGGCGAAGGTCACTTGTCTCGGGGAGTCGTCCTCTGAGGGTGCGAGGAGTCCCGACTCCCTTCCGCCGGGGAGCGCTGCTTCTAAAACGAAGCCTGCTACTACCCGGGGTAGTCTGGCGTCCAGAGGGTAAGTAAATCCCAACTCCGCAGGGTCCAGTCCGTGGTCAAAAGTCCACTTCGTCGGCCCCCACGTTGGACGGCAAACTGCGCGAGGGCGTACACAGCCCTAAGTCCGGCTAGCTGAAGGGGTAAAGCGGCCGACGCCCCTGCGCATCTGAGGCCAGCCCCCCTTGGCGTCCTGGCCTCGGGCTGGGCTGGATTGCGGACTTGGGTTCGCGCTGGACGAGACGAGAGAGGAGGCGACCACTTGCTGGGGGTAAAACATCGGTTTATTGAAGAGCCCACAGGCAGCACAGGGCAAACCAACAGGTGGAAAAACCCACAGCAAAATGGCCCCGAACACGGGGGGAGACAGAGTTTTACAGGGAAGGGGTGGAGACGGGAGGGGAAGCCCAGCTAACCAATAGGGGAACATGTGGGGAGGTACATAAGAAAACTGACACAAGAACTTATCCAATAAACATAGAACAAAGGAGGGGCCCTGGGACGCCAGCCAACTATGACCCCCAGAGAGAAGAATGTTCTCGAAAGCAGGGAGGAGTGGGGGGTGATTGACTGGGCCCAGGGAGGAGGAAAACTTTACTTATATGGTGGGATAAGGGAGGAGCAGTTATGTAACTTGGGAGATTGACAAATAAGGGGGGCAGGGGTAACCGTGGTAACATAACTGCCAAAGACTCTGTGGCGGGAAAACTGGAGGGGGAAGAACCATCTTACAAAGAACAGGGGGAGAATAATACCTAAAATGGGGGAACAAAACAAGAAACTTAAAAACACACTACAACACATCAGAAGCAAAGAGCTTAGCAGGATTCAAAACAAGAGGGGACATTTCTGCAGATTATATTTGCAAAACTTCTGTAATATTGTAACAGCTTAAAAATTCTGAATATTTATCAAACAGCAGCTTTGGAGTAAATATAAACTATAGCTTTGGGATATGACTCAATCATTCATACATAATGGAAGTTTAGAAGCTTCTAAGGAAAGGAGCACAGGAATTATTCTTCCTAACAAAGTTCACTTTAAAATGTATGGATAACCACTTCAATTTTTTTTTTTTTTAAAGAACAGAATCAGATAAAATTACTCTCATTTTTCTTTGCTACAAGATATGCTTCTGTGATATATAGGCAATAAACTCCAGACAAACAATATAACATTCCCTCCAGAAATAAAATACTCATAGCTTTTTCACTCTGTTGTTTCCAAACCAGGCAAATAATTATTACGGAGGAGTCAATAAGAAAAAAAAAAGAAAAAAAAGAAAAAAAAAAAGGCATGTTTTTCTTTCTCTACTAATAATCTCATTTTAGACTCTCTTGAAAACAGTTGCAATTTTTGTCTCCTTACAGAATTTCCCAAAATTATTTCAAGTTTTGGTGAGCCTGACCCGACAGGCAACTAAAAACTTCAATGTGAGTTGTGCTTACCTTTGCATGCCCTGAACAGTTGTTTAGAAACAGAAAAAGAGAAAACAAAGCAGAAAAAAGAGACAAAAGAAACCCCACCAGAACCCCATGAGCAAACTACCCACCCCAAAAATGGCAACAAATACATTTAAAATTATTTTAAAGCCTCTTTTCCTATGCATGTGAGGAGAATAGACTGGGATTTGCAAAGCCATGATACGATTTTATATGGTTCCTAAGAGATGAAAACTTTAAGTTCCTTTTAAATTTCTATCCACTACACTTTTTATTATACAAAAGTGTAGACAATTATAAGCTAAATTTAACTTGTTTCTCCCTTCCTACTTTAAGATCATTTTGCTTCCATTCCTGCTTTAAATTCTTTCCCTTAAAGTTAAAATAAAGTCAAATACTGTTAGAAGTTACAAATTTCAAAGCATCATGTCAATAAATGAAAGGGTTTGGTTAACAATGAACACTGAAGTTTTATCAAGAGACAATCAATCTCAAGATGGCGAGAAAAGGGAATTTAAACTACAATTTTTAATGAATACTGAATAGCATTAACACTTACTGGCACATTTTTATAGGTAATTGCTTCAGGCCTGACTATATTGAAGCCACAATTAAAAAAATGAAACAGGCTGAGTATGATAAGTGGCTTCTGAGACAGAAATATTTATCCTTTTATACTAACAGAGGGGAAAAGACACAGAGAAGAATACTTGAGCCCACACCGAATATAGCAGCATCCTCCTCACACGTTCTACTAGACTACAAGTGTAAGGACTCCACAAGAACACACATCTCCACAATTGCTTTTCTTGAAAAAGAAAGGCCAGACAAAGCAGAAGCTCCAACCCACACTCTTATATGATGGTAGATGACACAGATGCTCCTGTTCCCACCATCTGCTGGTATTCTACATAGTGTTGCTCATTTTGGTTAGTCTTATCTCCTCCTCCAGACTGCATCAATCACTTGGTCTCTTTCTTTCACACCCACACTTTCAACTAGGCTTGAACAGCTCAACCACACCGGCAGTCAGGAAAATCAGAGGCACTTATCTCAATCTTTGTGCCACTGTTACTTCTGTTTCTTTTTCAAATCTTTATTTTGGTGAAGAGAAAACCCCACCATGGTGAATTCTTACTAGGAGTTTGTCCAGGGAGGTGAATTCTATAATATGATACAACAACAAGGGCTATTACTTGTATTATGCCTTTGGAGAGAATAATGCAGAAGTAGTAAAAGTGGTTCAAGTAATCCTCTAACATTTAAAAGGCACTTACCCATGAGGCAAATGAAAATATGGGAAGTGCATGAACTGTGAGACTCAGTATAATCTATTTTTATTGCTTACTGCAAAAACCTTGCCCATAAGTATTCTCAAACAAGATGAGGCCATAAATGCCTAAACACAGTACTAAATGAATAAAATAAACTATTATAACAATTCATAGGAATTTTATAACCCATCATCACCATGCATAAGGATGTATCAGTCCAGTGACTTTATTAAAATCAAGATTCCAGCCTCCCACATGCTGTTCTATTGGCATATAAACATCACAGGGAAGCAACAGATGGGGTAAATAAAAAAAGGAAAAGAAGCTTGATACTGCAGAACAAACAGCCACAACAGGTTGTTTTGGGATGTGACACAACAGGAAGGAATTGCCTCAAAGCGCACAGGATGGCTTTGGAATGCAGCACTGGGTCCCAGCATCACTCTTACACATGAGACCAGCTGCCCATCTATGTGTTAAGTAACTTGCATGAGGAAGGAGGCAATATCTTCTACATCATCCATTATCGCTGGAAGAAGAAGGAGGCACTGTCTTCAGGGTAGCCCTGGGTTACTTAAAAAGATGTTTCCCCAAATTTTATCAGCACAGCTTACAAGGGTTCAAGGACAGGCTCCATTTTAATCACTGCAATGGCAAATTGGACATTCAAAGGCTTTTGGGACACCTGTGTTCTCTATTCTCCTTTTTCTCCAGGCCATACACATTGTTATGATTCTCAGATATCTCTCTGGGTTATGAGGCCAAACGTTAGGGTTTCAAACAAACATTACTTTGGAATCCTTTTCTTATGCCAACTAATTTAGATTAGCTAAAGGAATGTCCATTTTATCCTCATTGCTCCTTTATTCACTATAAACTTGTCATTTTTCATGGCATAATGTTTGTCTATGTTATTAACTCTACCCAGACACATAGCCAAACACAGCACAATGTTGCTCAGCCCCCTGTCATTTTCTGATCCTTTATAAAATGCTAATGTTCCAGAATATTTAAATTGTTAATCAAACGGTGGTGCTAACAGGTTTAAAGCCATGACTGCACTTTAGCACAGTTCATTGCTCAGAACTTATGAGGTCACTGGAGTCCTATTGAGCAATCAATTCTGTTCAGTTACAGCTGTAAATTCTTAGCAGCTATAAAAGTGCCCATTTCATACTACAAATAAATATATTTTAGCTCCTCGTCTGCATGATTCAAAGTCAGAAAAATATAATTTATATTGCTGCCTCTTCCTTACCTTCTCATGTCCTCCTTTATGTGCAGATTTATTAGTTCTTTAGGAACGTGGAAGGAGAGGGTGGTCTCAGCCATCTGCTCCCGGATCCGCATCCACTTGTTGTCAGAAGTAGGGAATCTATACAACTTACAAACAGGGTTTCTCAACACTGCAAAGAGCAAAAATAATATCATTGCTTTCATGTGCTTATATGAGTCCAAACATTTATGACAATAACCTGCATAATTATTATATTATTTCCCCCTAGCTTACAAAATTAATTTTAGTATCATTAAAATTCCACTAAAAACATTTAATATCTATTTCATTTTTATACCAGCATGTGGAGGGCAAAGTATTACTAGTACATCAATAAATCGCATTTTACCAGCAGAGTAGCTAACTTTTGAATTTAGGTCTTCAAAGTAGTGAGAATGTCAATCAGACTCTCTTTTCTTGCATTTCAGCTGGAGTTAGGAAAACCAGAGAGCACAAATGAACAATGAACTCAGTACAGCCACCACCACAGCTTGCCAGCACCACTCACAATTCCAATAAATTGCACAGGACTCAGGGTTCAGCTGCATCTTCCCCTGGACATGCACACACAAATCATTAATGCAAATTGGAGGTGTGCTTCTGCATTAAAGGAAACTTGAACATATTAGAGTTACCTGGAACTTTGATGGGGTCAAGACACTGCCACTACATAGAAATAAATATAACAGCCCTGTCGATATGTTACACACACAGTTTTCAGATCACTATTGCAATGTGACATAAGAACATCACTTGACTTGGAATGAGTGACAGCTACTAACAGTGACAGCTACTAACAGACATTTCACAGACACCATTAATGTTTATGTAGTCTGATTTATAGAGAATTAAAAATAAAAGGTACCCAAACTGCCTTGTCTATCTAAGCAATCAGGATTTTTAACAAATATCCTTTAGGAAAGGCCTAAAAGAAGACCAGAGATTTAAATACACTGATAATAAACCCACTGCTTGCAACCCGAAGAAAGGAGCAATGTTTAAGTGGTCGCACTGCTCTATATTCCCATCACTCCACTGAGATGTCTTTCATCAGCAATCTTGGATGAAAAACTGTTGTTGGATTATGCCCTTTTCTGATCCAGAGATGGAGCAACCGAGTCTTAAAAAACTTTTATTCTATTTTCAATCTCTTGGGAAGGGTGAGACAATACAGATGTTATAATTTACGCCTTTACAATCAGAAGCCAACTATTTCTTAATTTTATTGTCATTTTATGAGCCTTTTTAGAGTAATTTTGCCTTTAGTTCTTAGTGATTTTACTTTCAAAAACTAAATTTTCACTCAGTATTGTGAAATAAGCGAAAGAGATGCTTAATTTCTCTGACATATTAAAAAGAGCAATTTTTCTTTACTATCAATACCCAAAATATCTCAATGTTCAAACCTCAGGAAACTAAGGGCTAATTCAAGGGCTAATTCAAGTCTGGCCTTAAACAGAAAACTGCCAAACCAGATGATAATTTTGAGTTGGTACTGTTTTTTCTGTTGTGCCCCCCGATCAGCATATTACCTGGACATTTTAAATGATGATGCCCCTGACACAAAAGATTCTTTATTTTACCTTTTTATATCTACTTCCTAAGGAGTTTATCAAGGGATTTTTTCCAAGAGCAGCCCTTAAATTCACACTCAGAATCGACTACACTGAAAAATGCACATTAATCTGTGAGAACCTAATGCAAATATGTATCTGAAAAATCTCTTTCCTCCCATCTCCCCAATGTTGCCACCATCACAAAGTAAAACAAAGCCCAGAAAACCCATCACAACTGCACCAAGGGACAAAGAACACTAAAAATATGGATTCAAAGTTGTGACTTTTATTGTGGCTAGAATTATTAAACTCCTCTCCAGGTACTGGCTTCATCTTCGGGTCTTTGATTCAGGTCTGAATTTTCAGATGGGGATAATCTCAAGTGTGTTGTAAGTTTTTTAAATGGTCAAATCCATGGGTTTAAGAAGAAAATTTCATTTACAAAGTCAAAAAAAGCCTGGGCATTTTTCCCAAATAATCCCAATATGCAGTATTGCTAAAGCTTAAGATTTAAGGCCAATAAAAGCTGCATAAGTACTTGATGTTTTTTCCTTATAAACAGAACTACTGAAGGCATGCAACTCCATAAAAATCTCAGAAGTATCTTCCCCTCCAACTGCAACAATAATTAATTTCTACCTGTAACAAGTTGTCTAGAACCAAATTCTAGAGGGCATGTACAATAAGAAGGGTGAGACTAGAATTGGTTTTCATAAAAAGTAGTGATTAAAATGAGTGGAAGTTTCATAAAGATAATCCTTGCTGTACTCAGACAGTGATCATGAGAGGCATTGAAGAAAACCCAAAATCCACATGAACTGCAGTGGTTAAAAAAGAGAAAACTCTGTTTTAAAAGCTTTTCTCCACAGCATCAAGCCTGAAAGCCAATGCCATATATTTACCCATGAATATTTTTGGACATTGTCATTTTTAATATGAAGAACCTCTGTGCTTTTTATTCCATGCAATATCCTTCACATTGCTTCCCCTGAAAGTACAATAAAAATAATAAAAGATTGAATACTCTGGTTTTATTTTCATTCCCTATTGAACACAGATCAAAGCATATCTTTGCCATATATTAATTTGCTAACAGTGTTCCTATTTATATCTTTCTTTGTAGCATAGGAATATGATGTGTATTACCTCAGGAATAATAATTAAAGCTTTCCTAATTTTGCTTAATTTCAATTACTTTTCTTATCTTTCTTTTTTAATTTAGAATGCAATTTGTTTACATGTAAACAACTGGCAAACTCTCCAGCATTATAAATAAGTAACTGAATTTTGAGACGTAAATTCAGTCTCTGGAGGTATAGAAGCAATAGTGATAAGGCTCTGAAACACACTGCTTATTCCCACTCGCTCAACAAGCATCTCATAACTCACTGGAGGGCTGAGAGTTCCCTATCCTAGGATTTAAATTTCACAAGAATGCCAGCATGCTTCTATGCCTACAAGCTTAAGGATTCACAGAGGCAGCTTTTTTTTTCAGTTTCATCATTTTGAAGGCCTGATAAACAACAAGAAAATACCAGAAAGCTTTACAGCAGCATACACGTCAACTAAATATGAATGTATATGGAAAACATACTGTTCTGGGGGCAGTTCTGTATGAGCACAGCATGTCAGCAGGAAAGTGGAGGTGATGCTGCACGAGAAGAGAAAGTCACAAATACAGGAAACAGACTGAAGACTAATTATTTATCTGAGAAAAACTTCCTGTGAGTGCAAACTCTTCCCAATAGCCTGCATGCTGTCATTTCTTGCATATGCACCTCTTTCCCCTCAATTCTTTAAAAAAAGCCTGACAACCCAAAAAATGACAAAAAAAAAAAAAAAAAAAAGCTCTTCAAGGTGTGTTTGACTTTATAACTTTATAAACCCGAGTAGTGTTGGGTGGGCTTTGGTTTTATATTGTGTTTGTATATGACAATAACAAATGTGAAAACGCTGCCTAGATACACTGTAGAATCACATGGAAATATTCTTGACAAATTGATCGAGACTTCAATATTCCTAAAACTGACATCTACCTTGGAAGTTCCAACAAAACATATTCACAACCTACAGCATTTTCCTATACAAAAGAAGTCAACAAAAAACCCCAATCAGACCTATACAAGGGAGGCAACAAACAGAAAACAATCTGTTGTGAATCAGCATCGTTCTCTGGCAGAAATGTCATTTCTTCAAGTCTCACTAATCTGGATGACATACAGAATCACAACCAAAGAACTGCACTGGGCTAGATGAAATCCTTCACCTGGCCTCTGTATCTTGTGCCCAAGAAAAGCCATAAATACACACCTGGAGACACAGGATACCCTCCATGCCTCCAGCTATTTCCAGTTCAGGAATTTCTGGAGCCGGATGTAGCTCCGGCACATTCAGAAATTCTCAATTAACATCTTTCTCACTTTGAATTGATGAAAATAAATGGTATTTCTCTAGAACATATTTTTTCTGATTCTGATCTAATCTCAACAACTCACAGAAAAAAAATGCAATATTCACACACATATGGAAGAACTTAATTTTTGGCAGTTTTTAGGGCTTCCTTCAGACTGCAAAGCAGATTCAGAAAGTCTGCCCTATCAGAGAAATCAGATTAAAAAGTTTCAAGAAAGATTTTAAAAAGTTGTAAAAGTTTGGTAACATTCCTCCTCAACGGTATGTAGCAAACACAGAATTCTTGACAGTGCTGTGGTTTTAGATGACCCATATAACTTATTTGTGACATTGTTATTGCCGAGTAATGGAGATTCATAAACTCGGGCTAATAAAGGTTTTATGGCACAGCACATCAGCATGTAATACTCCTCAGATAATGAAAGAAAAACAGATCTAGTTTAACACCATGCACTCAAGCCCAAGCTGGCCTAGAATTGAGAATGCCTTGCCAACAGCTCCCTTCATTCTAGGACAGACAGTTTCCAGATCAATCTGAAACTGCCACTTCACCAGTTATGAATGAGAGAGATTGATTGTCCTGGGTATTCACTTACAAATAATGCAGAATTATTTTACAGAATGCCGTGCAATGACATAACAGAAACTAATGATGGTAATTCCATGCCCATGGAAGTCACTGACAGTGATTTTTAGTCACTGAAAATCACTGAACAGTAAAGATGCAGGAGATGGAGATTTCAGCACTGCTTCAGAAAGCGCAATTGACACACACTTATTCAAACTTCTCCGTGAAATGATAATGCCAAACATGTATAAAACACTAAAATATTGAACTTGAACATCTGTGCAGCATTTGAAGAGACATTGATGAGCTCTGCCACGAATCTGTGTGATTTCTACAGGACCAGAGGTGGAGTTGCAAGAGCTGTCTCTTACAGATATTGGAATTCTTACCTGCATTTAAGGAAGGCAGGTTGTCCTTCCCACTTATGCCCTCAGTGGCTGTACACTCACGAACCAATGCACACTGCAAAAAAATACAATACAGATGTGACACATTCAGGGGGTCTGAGATA